CACATTCACATAAACTTTGATGTAGCTTGGAATATCTGTTTCCCTCATCTGACTTGGCAATTCAGGATGAAATGCAGGACTCTTTCTTAGATAAGCTAATTGTTTTGACAGACAATCGTACTGGCTTGTTGTTGATATTCCAAAGCGGACAAAAAGGTTTCATGTTTAATTTTTATGCTGTGTAACTTTAGTCTCTATCTCCTACTTCAGCTCTCATTCTTCAGCTTGGGATGTGACTGAAAATGGCTGTGGTACCATGGGATAGCTAATTGGTAAAGCCTGTTTGGAATGTGGGTAAGCGAGCCATTTTGGCAGTGAGCAGAGTAGTAAAGAACACTCTTTTTCCCTTAGTTGACTCCCAGGCTAAAATTAAACAGTTAGATACTTCCACATTTAGTGATTTACAATGCATCTGTTCTGAGTCAGCTAGCAGGAAGAACTGAGTACCTATATACTTTTATAAAAAAAAGGGCTTTTCATTTGGGTTTAATACACGGATCTGCATTTTTAGTATGCCTTAATGGAAATGCCCTTCAAAACAGTTAATTTCTCTTTCTGTTATCCTTTAAAGTAATTGGATGCTAAATTAATGACACTAACTCAACCTGTATCAGCACCTGCTTACTGTTCATGTGTCCTGAGACATCTAGGCTCAATGCTGAATCAGTTCATGGTGCAGTTTATATAGCACAATGGTGTAATGTTTTAGTTACTTAGTTACTGAAAATAAACAAAACTTGTCTGAATTAGTTTTTATTGTAGACCATTCTTCTTGTTCGTATTTATTATCCTTCCCCAATAGAAAGTATACATTAACTATACCCTATAAACTTCTAGAGCAAACTGAAGTTTCAGTTCATTTTGTAGGTGAATACCTAAAATGTGTTACTGAAAGTTTTTACTGGAAATAACAATATAGATGTGTTTGGATACTGCATATACACAGAGCAGAATTTAGAAAGAATCCTTTGTAGTTGCAGAGATAAAATACATTTTTTGACATATAAATATCAAGGCTGCTTCTCAATGTCTAGTCCATCATAGTAAGTTATTGTTCCTGTGTTAAATGTCAAGTTTTAATAAGTAAATTTATGACTAGACTATTATTGTCTACTCTTCCTAGTAAATTTTTTTCACCAAAATGTTGTAACTCAGTAATGCAGTTTACTCTTTCTAAAGGTTCTTCCATCTCCAAAAAGACAACGATTTTCATGAAGTGTTGCTACTTCCCAAAGTACTCATTCATGTCTGTATTCCTCTTCCACCATTCTGCTGCCTTTTCTTCTGTCTCTGTGATATTTGAAGCCCCCTCTTGTTCTTTCAACACCGCTGAGGATCCCTCAGCACCACCACTCTGCTGCTGGACTTCACCTGTCCTGCCTCTGTTCTCTGCAGCTACATCCCCCACATGTCCTCTTCCACTTCACCAGAGGGTACCGTATTCTATTTTTGTCCCATTTTAATTTTCCCTTTTGAAGGAGAGGGCAGGGCTAGAGCCCCAGGGTAGCGACCCTTCTCCTGACTACTCCAGCAGCCTTTGCTCAGCACTCAGCATGGGAGGAGGTGGCAGCAGAGTCAACAAAAGCACAGGAGCCCCCAGGTTATCCTCTGTGGGTCCCCAGTCCCTTTGGCACACGAATGCTGTTGCTGCAGCTGTCGTCATCCAAGGAAGCTTGTCAAGAAGCTGGATGAGAGGGCCAAGCACAACTGTGCTCTGCAGCCTCCTGTTTGTCCTCCTGGTCTACCGCCTGCCTGCAGTCTCCCTTTGGCTTATTCCTTCAGGAGAGAGCCCAAAGTTGGAGAGGAGAGAAGTTTCTTGCCCAAACTACCCCTGGCAAATGACACCATGACTGGGAGGAAGTTCTCAAACATTCAAAGATTACATGGTGTGGGGTTTGATTCTTCTTTTTCAAATCATTTACTAGGTAGATGTAATAGATAACTCTGGCAAGAACTGGAATCTGGAAAGGAAACCTATTATGGTATGAGACTAAGGTCTGTTTTTTTCTGAAATCTAAATTTAATTAGAAGGAGAACAGGGGAGGGGAGAAAAGAAAGTTCACCACAATCTTAATGAAATCCAGGAAACTCAAGCATTGCATTTTGTCAGAGACAAAATATCAATTAATTTTTTTTTTCCTTAGACGTGTAAGTAGTCTACTGCCAGCATATAGTTTGGTCCTTGAATCAGTGAGATCTTCCTTGAAAACTGGAGGGGGGGCAATTCTTATTTCTTGACATGAAAACCCAAATTTAAGAGGTTTTTTGGGGGGGAGGAGGCAAATCTGAGAAAATTTTCTTTGACTACTTAGTTACTTATTTTAAGAAAGCTGTTACGCAGAAAACAACTTTACATAGATGATTAAAGTGCTCATTGAATATAGTGTCTGAGTAGCAAATAACAGCAGTAAATTTCAGTAATTCACTATGACAGAGTGACTTGGTAGGAGGCCAAAGTTACCTGACAGTCAAATTGAAAGACAAATATGTAATAGTTTATCTGACTACTTGCACTGGTTTTTAATGTGGGGGGTTTTTTTCCTCCCAGACACAAGCTCTCAATGGCAAAATACAACTTAGAAAATTAACTGTGTTGCTCTCTGTTCTACCTTACTTCAGAGTTTTATGGGATTCTGCTGCTGAGACTACATTAAAGTGAAAAGATAATTTTATTTCAAAGAGTGGCTTAATTGTATTGAACATGTTAGTTTTACCTCAGTTTTTTGCAGTAAACAAGAAACTAAACTGCGTAACTAGCATCATGTGTTACAGTAACACTATTTTTTTTTCCAGGATTCTGTTATAAATGTGCATTCTTTTTGTTGACTTTGCCTGTAGGCTGACTTTATTCCTCACTCCTTGGGAGGTCTCCAAATCCCACTTGTCATATCACATATACATTAAGCCTTTCATTAAGTATTGGTGACAACAGGCGGTATCTCTTAAAGTCAAGATTCTCTTATTTTAGCATCTGGGTATCTTATAAAACCTAATGATTGTAGCATATGCTTTATCAAACCTCTGCTACCTTCTGCTTCCTTCTTCTAGTTTCCTCCAGATCCTGCCACAAGGCATATTCACTGCTTTTCTTTCTTGCACGTTACCCCTTTTCTTTATGCTTGACATCAGCTTTGCCCTAATTTGCAGATTTATTTCTAAAGTTTATAACTGACATTTAAATCCGTCAGATCACATCGACTAGTCTGTGTATAGGAGTCCTCACAGTGTGTGTTCCAGCTCCAAGCTTGCACTAGGCGGGTGATTTATCTTTGTGTATTTCTTGACTGCCATTTTCCCATTGTACTCATCAGGCTTTGCTTGCGTTGCCCCAGGTTGGTGGGTCTTCTGCCATCTGGAATTCAGCCGGGTTTAAAATTTTGTTATATACAATAAACTCATAACTTCCCCCCACCCCACTCTTTACAATTTTGGTGATGTATTGTGTATTTAGAGGCATATGTTTTTGCTGGTTTTTGGAAAGTACATTGAGTTGTGTGACAAGCTTTCTGAATTTATTTCTATTTATTATTAAATTCAGATTGCTGCATAATTATATTGTATACTGCAGAGTAAATATAGTATATATTGCTTTAGGAATTATGATTCTTTAAATTATAAAACTACTGTAATTCTCTAGAACTTTTTGCTGGGACCTTCCAGTAATCAGGGTATTTGGTTTGAATTTATTTCATTATTTACCTCATTAATTCATTTTTATATTTAAGGTAAAATTGCAAAAAAGGTATCTGAAAAGATAAGACGTGAAAAGATAACTGCCTTTTACTACTTGCCACACCTTTACAATGTAATCAGTACATTGTATTAATTTATATGCTTCTGAATTTTACAGCTAGGGTTGAACTTGTAGTGTAGGGTTAATGATTGGACACAATGATCCCAAGGGTCTTTACCAACCTGAATTGTTCTAAGATTCTATGATTCTATGAGTTCTGCTGCAATAGATGCTTTACCTGTATTATTAAATCAAAAGCCTCATCAGATTTTTAATACAGGTTTAATGAAAGTAGTGCTTCCTAACTGATAGAATCATAGAATTGTCAGGGTTGGAAGGGACCTTAAAGATCATCTAGTTCCAACTTCCCTGCCATGCGCAGGGACATGTTTTAGTGTGCTTGGCTTGAAGTATATGGAAACATTTCTGGATACTGAGAATAGTTTTTCTACTGTTTTGAGCCCTAATGTTATCCATGTAAGCTTTTCTTCACAAGCATAAGAAAGTTAGAAGCTTTCTTTTAAGAAATGAAGTTATAGTAACCCTGTGTTATGGTCCTAGGACGTCAAAAGTGAGATTTCAAGACAATAAGATACATTGTAAAACTGACGGTATATAAAAAAAAGAGCTCACAGTAGCAAGACTGCCAACATTCATAGAGTTCAAAAATTTGCCTTATTTTACCTGACCAGTCCACTAAAGAATATTCATGACTACATTCACATTAAAAATGTTTATCCTGAGCAGCTTTGGACAGGACACTACCTTAGAGTAGACCTGTCTTTACTGAAAGAACTCGCTGTCCTTGACCATGTTTTTCTTTATTGATCCTGGAGGGAGTCATGCTTTATATTATTTTTCTGACAAGGGTCTCACTGACTCATTTCTTGCATCATGTTATTGTTGGCTGAGAATCTGAGGAAAGGTGTTGTGTGTATTCAGTTACACGCACAGCTTCATGAAAACAAGCATTATTCTTGGCAAAAAATTCTAATTTGCAAAATCAAATTGCAATTCTCTGCATTTAGTGTATGTGTGTCCCCATAACACTAGCAGTGCTGTCAAGTTTCTCACTTTCAAGAAGTTATTCAAGAAGATATTGAAGTTCATACTTTAATTATTACTCTTGATTGGAATTTATAATAATATGTATGTAAGTCCAAATAAAGTCTACATGAAACATGATTTGTGTGCAGGAGAAATTAATACACAAATGGAGATTCATTAGCCTATAGTTTACATTTTCTTTTCTTTCCTTGATGTATAGGTGCGGTACTCTTATCCAGTGTACAAGGATTAGCAATTAATGTTGATCCAGTCCTGTACACCTGGCTTATCTACCAACCTCAGAAACGAACTGGTAGACACCTTCAGCAGGTATGTATTTTTGGAGGGGAAGTTTGTGGACGGGAAACTTCCATATATGCCGGTGCATTCTTGTTCCACATATTTGTTCTCTGTCATCCTGTTCTTTCCAGTTTGCAGTACCTACTATCGATCTTTTTTTTGAGTGTTAAGTTTCACATATGAAAATTTTCATTTCACAACGTTTTGATTTCTGTTCTTTTAAGTAAACATTTTAATGTTTTTTGATGGTCACTGTTTAGAATCAGTATTTTGCAACTAGTTTTAACTACTGAGACCTCATAAGCCTCCTGAATCAGAATAGTAATTCACATTTTAACCGTATGGGATGGTCTAGCAAATAATTGCATAACTTGTTGTAGACTTAAGATTCTTATTAAAACCTGTTTTAATAGGTGATGAACCATAAGGTTCATAATTTGACATCAGTGGATGCTGTAACAGATTCTGTATGCAATATCAAAACACATATTTGCCTACAAAATACGTGGAAAATTAGAAGAAGTTAAGGCTATGGATCTGTGTGGCAAAATGCTTGCTTTGATATATTCCTGACCTTAATTTTCATGCTCCGTGCTCCTGACCTTAAAAGAACACAGTTTTGGCCTGATTTTCAACTTATTCTAATGGTATACCAAAGAACAGTTAAAAACTGTTATAAAGCTTTAATTTGCTGTAACTGATCAAACTAGTGGTCTTGTACCCTGACATTCTGTCTCAAGTTGTAAGTGGTCAGTTATTAAGTGGCCAATATAAGATTCTTTCCATATTTGTCTAATAATTGTGAAAGACTGTGCACATCAGGGAGGATTCATACTGGGCCCTTGAAGTGGGAGGATTAACATGATCTATAAACACGTCTGTTCCTTGTGCGCACATGGTCTTGTTAGGTGGTAATTGTCAGACATTAATCTGAGGCACATTAAGCTCATTCTGCACCATCTGAAAAACTTCAGTGTGTGAATTGCTGCTTTATCATTTTAATGACTTCATGCTCCTTTTTAAGGGTGTGGAGTTATTCTTCATTCCTACATGGTAACTGCAGCAGCACATTTCCTAGTATACTTCTTTTTTAAAACAATCCATTTATTTACTTTTGCAGTACTATTATGTGACCTTCCAAAATATGATTGAGTCCGGTTATTTCAAATGTTTGTATAAAAGTCTTTCTTTAACATTAATGTATAAAATCAGCTGTTACTTAATACTTTCTCTTTTGTTTTCCCTTCTATACAGATATCTAGAAAGGGTTTAGTGACTATGTTAGTGAACTTTTTTTCCCACGATTTTGCTCACTAGTGGCAAAATTTATAACCAAATTTTGATTAAATAGTTATTTAGTAATTTATGTCATTATGTTATACAGCGTTCTAAATTTTTTGTAATCTATTTATGATTAAAAGGATTGTATCACATTTCTAATGCTACTAGCATTTAGAGTTGCCCAGTCATTTGAAATTATTTTAAATGTGAATTTATAAACCAGTCGACATCATGCTAGTATCACTGTTAACATACTGCATGTAATAATAAAAAATTGCGATGTCTGTAGTAGCCGTGGAGAAACTTTGTTTGAAAAGAAAACTATACCTGTATTAAACTCTCCTTAACCAAAGACTTTTTTTCTTTAAATATTGTAATTATACTAGGAAAAGGATTCTAGTCAAAGTTGCAGCCTCGTATATTGCTTACTAGAAAAAGTTGAGCTTGTTACTGTAGTCTAACTTGTATAACAAAGCAAAAATGCTCTTTACAACCTTCATAATTTTTCGACATTTAATGAAACAACTGCAAGACACAATGTTGATAACACTGTTTTTTTCCTCTATTCTAACCATCAGTGTTAAACAATTGCAACAGAAGAAAATACACGGCCATAGAAATTCCTTGTGTGATTCAGAGATCTTAAGTGTTAAGATAGTTTTAAGTTTTAAGGTCTACTTACCGCAATTTTTTGCTCTGTCATTTTGGGTAAGCCAAAATTGTAAGTTTTATCTGAAAACAGAATCAGAAAATCTTTCGAGATGTTTGGTTCTGGTTACACATTCTATTAAGTAATAATATTATGAGTCCAGTAATTAAATTATTATTTGGGACTCTAACCATAGTCATGTAAACTTCTGGTTGCATACGGGATAGGGCTGGGATTGTCTGGCTCCCTGCAGAGACATGTATTGCTTTACCTACCAAAACTTCTTCAGATTTGTTTGCCTTTTAGCAATTACTCTGAGATTCTAAGGTTTATAATGCCAATTTGGTATCATATGTATTTTATATTTTTACTGAAATACTATGTGCAATGTAACTCTCTTGGCATGGTATTATCTGAAATCACGAAAAGTTAGAAATATCAGAACATACTTGACTTCATAAGCCAAAATGAGATAGGACAGAAGCAAAGCAGAAAAGTAAATCCATTTTTACAAACACATACATTTTAAATTCCTTAAAGCCGTGCTGTGCCTTCTTTAAGATTAGTGTGATGAAGCCATCAAAAACATCTTTGGCCTTAGTGAGTTTTTCATCAACTAGAACAGAACACAGAGTGACTGTTGTGTTGGGACATGGGGGTACGCACAACCTCAGTGAGGACTACCCCTTTTATTCTTTTGCTAGTAGACTGTTGCTAAACCTACCTCAGTTCTCACCCTTCTTCCCAGCAGCTAATAACCGTAGAATTAATGTGATAGCTGCAGACATTATTTGGCTTGTACAGATGTTACTTCTTTATACTTCCCCCTTTTTTTTCCCAACTGTGTCTATTTGATACAATTAGGTTATAAACTCTTTAACTGTGTTTATGTAGTATCCAGTACACTTCGTCACATGTCATGACATGTTCTGAAAAATGTAATGCATGATAAATGAGGATTGTAAAAGTCTGACTAAAGTAAAACACCAAAAGGAGAGAGAAACTGTTTAAACAAAAAGTTAAGTTTGGCACAATGATCAGTGAATATAAACAGGTTCTTCATATATTTAGGCTAAAATAAAAGATTTCAAAATCTTGAGTATTAAGACCACGGTAAAGTTTTTTTTGATGCTACTATTATAATTAGAAGGAAATTTTCTAACTTGTTCCTATATGGAATTTTGTATCTTTTGGAACAATACATATGGCAACTGTTTGCAGGTGAATGGAACTGTTTATCTAAACATACATCATTCTTCCTCACATTTATTTTAAACTAACTTCACCAAAAAAAAAGAAGTAATTTTGAAATAGAGCTAGTCTTTAAGGGTTATGCACAATTTTTAAAATACAATTGAATTAAAAAATACAGATGAATGATATTGTAGCATATTACTGTTTAGTTTGGTTGCTATTGTAGTTATATGGTCAGTGCTTTAGAGTGTATGGGTGTAAGTATAACTTGTTTTTCTCCATCCATTCTTAAATTCAACATGCATCTATAAGTTTTTCATTGTCCCCTCTGAAACACAGAAACAATGAGAACATTCAGGTTTAAAAATCCATGAGCTGTTCTCTCAGTGCTTGAACATATCTACATATTGCTTTTGAATTTTTCTCATGGCTACTAGAAATGAGAGGTGTAGTTCTTAAGTTACTTTGCTGACATGAAAGCATTGTGTAAATTAAGCCTCTTCTGTATTTAAAATCTTGTCTGTTACTGTCTCTCATCTAATTGATGATACTGCGCACAAGTCAGTATAATGTCATTCTGAGGAAAATAAGTGGATCTTAATGTGTAGTAATGCTTCTTAACAAATTTGGGTTGGCAGAAATGAAATAAGTCTATAGATGCACAACACAAACAAACACAGAGCTTTTGTTGCATCCTTTTGGTATCCTTATTTTTATATGTTTGTCTCAAATTTACAATTTGTATTTTTTCCCAGCAATAATAGAGGAAACTACTGAAACCGTTTGTAGTAAAGAAGTTCTGCTGACTCTTTGTATACTGTATGGTATAATGTGTAGCATGTTTTCTTTAAATGGTGATACAGCAAAGCTAATGCTACTTACGTTTATATTAGTCACGAATAGAATTAACATCTCTCTTTGAACTGAACTTGAGGCAAACTCGTTATTTTACTTTTGTGTGAAGTCTGCAAAATCCTGTTAGTTACTATAGCGAGTTCTATGAGTTCTTGCTGAGTAAAGAGCCTATTTCAGTGTTCGGTCATCCTCACAGTGCAAAACTGAGAAGAGCCTGGCCTATATGTTCATTACTCCCTCCCTTCAGGCTGAACAATCCCTGCTCTCAGTCTTTACCTATATGGAAAATGCTCTTAATCATATTTGTGACTTTTATTGGACTTTTTTTCAATGTGTTCCTATTTTTTTTGTATTGGTGGGTCCAGAGCTAGACAGACCCAGCACCGAGTAGAGAGGAAGGATCACCTTCCTTGACTTGCAGGCAATACTTCGTCTAGTGCAACCCAGGATATGATTCACTTTTTCTTTACCTTACGATCTAGATAAGGGGATTGAGTGCACCCCCAGTAAGTCTGCAGATGGCACCAAGTTAGATGGGAGTGTTGATCTGCTCAAGGGTAGGAAGGCCCTTCAGAGGGACCTGGGCAGGTTGGATTGATGGGCTGAGGTTAATTGTATGAGGTTTAACAAGGCCAAGTGTCAGGTCCTGCACTTCCATCACAACAACCCCAGGCAACACTGCAGGCTTGGGGAAGAGCAGCTGGAAAACTGCCCAGTGGAAAAGGATTTAGGAATGCTGGTGGACAGCTGGCTGAACACTGAGCCAGCAGTGTGCCCAGGTGACCAAGAAGGCCAACGGCATCCTGGCCTAGTCTGTATCAAAAATAGTGTGTTCA